TTTTTTTTTTTTTTTTAAAGAGAGTCTCATTATACTGCCCAGGCTTGCCTTGAACTTCCGGGCTCAAGCAGTCCTCCCACTTTGGCCTTCCAGAGTGCTGGGATGTGTAGGTGTGCGCCACCGCACCTAGCCCAGCTTGCTGCTTTGATCTCTGGGTTTTTCCACACCTTCTGATGCTACCCTGGCCTGCACCTCTGCCTACCACAGCCCTCTCCTGGGCTGCTGGCCTCTGGTTTCCCTTCCTCACACAGTACCGCCCACCAGGAGCCAGCGTGACCTTGGCTTTCTACCAGGAGCACGGCAGAAAATGCCCTTCCCGTGAAGGTTTCCCGGGTGCCCTGGCAGCCCACCGACACACCTGTGCCTTTGGGTCTGCGGCTGGAGTCATATGTGGGCGCCACGTCGTCATATTCCTCGTAGATCTCATTCGGGTCCCTGCAGGGATGTCACAGGTGAGGCCTCTTCCAGCTCCACGAGCTGCGCCCATGTCCAGGTAGGCCCGACACTCACCGCGGGATGTCTTCAGGTCGCTGGGCCCGGAAGAAGTGAATCCCGGCCGAGGAGCTGGTCCTCCGGAGATCTGTGGGGAACAAAGCAGAAGGGAGGCTGGCGCTGCCCGGAGGCCTCAGCCCTCCTCCTTATGCCCTGTGCCACCCACCCTCTCCCACCTGTCGAGCCTGTGGATGGTCTCCGAAAGCTCTGGAAACCCATGAGGAGCGGAGGCAGCGGGGGCTTGACTGGAGGGGGCCCCAGGCTGCTGGTGGGGGGCAGAGGCCTCCGCCGGGGTGGGTGGCCGGGTTTCAAGCCTGGTCTGAACCCTCCACTGTGACCGAGGCCTCCCGACCTCCAGCGGCGTGTCGCAGGAGCCCCAAAGCCAGGGCTGGGCGGCAGCCTCGGGCTGGAGCCGGCCACCGCAGCGGGCAGGGAGCTCTCTGACACCGAGCCCGGGAGCGTGGGCTTTCTAGGGAGGTGACCGAAGAACTCAGGCTGCGGGGGCTTCTTGGGCAGAGCACTGGGCTCGGGCTGGGAGAACTTGCGGGGTGCCCCCCGGCACTCAGGCTGCAGGCACTTCCTGGGAAGCAAACTGAACTCGGGCTCTGAGGACGTCCTGGGGAGGCCACCCAGCTGCAGCTGCGGGGGCTTCTTGGGGAGCGCTGTGAACTCGGGCTGCTGCGGCCTCTTCGGAAGCACGCTGACCTCGGGCTCTGACGACGTCCTGGGGAGGTCACTCAGCTGAGGCTGCGAGGGCTTCCTGGGAAATGCACCGGAGCCGTGCCGCGGGGACTGAGGAGGGGGCTCGCTGGAATCGGGCTTCCAGGGGGGGGTGCGAGGGACCTCACTGAACTCAGGCTGCGGCAGGAACTTCTTAGGGAGGCTGCCCACCTGAGGCTGCGGGGGTTTTCTGGGGTGCGCACTGAACTCGGGCTGCAGGGGCTTCTTGGGAAAGGGGCTGAACTCGGGCTCCGAAGGCTTCAGGGTGGCCTCACTAGACTCAGCCGGCCAGAGCTTCCTGGAGAATGCACCGAGCTTGGGTTCTGAGGGGTCCCTGGCAGGGCGGCTGAGCTCAGGCTTCTGGGCGAGAGTACCAGGCTCCAGCAGAGAGGCCTTGCTCTGGGCCTCGCTGAACTCGAGCTGCGGGGCCTTCCTGGGGAATGGAGTGGTCTCGGGCTGGGGGAGCTTCTTGGCACATTCACTGAACTCAGGTTTGGAGGGCGTCTTGGGGTGGTCAGTGAACTCAGGTTGCGGGGGCTTTTTGGGGAGGTCAGTGAACTCAGGCTGCGGGGGCTTCTTCGGGGGGTCAGTGAACTCAGGCTGCGGGGGCTTCTTGGGGAGGTTAGGGAACTCGGGCTGCGGGGGTTTCTTGGGGAGGTCAGTGAACTCAGGCTGCGGGGGCTTCAAGGACACTGCACTGAACTTAGGCTGTGGGGGCTTCTTGGGGAGGTTAGTGAACTCAGGCTGCGGGGGCTTCTTGGGGAGTTTAAGGAACTCGGGCTGCAAGGGCTTCTTGGGGAGGTCAGTGAACTCAGGCTGTGGGGCCTTCTTGGGGAGGTTAGGGAACTCAGGCTGCGGGGGCTTCTTGGGGAGGTTAGGGAACTCGGGCTGCGGGGCCTTCTTGGGGAGGTTAGGGAACTCGGGCTGCGGGGGCTTCTTGAGGACATCAGTGTGCTCAGACTGTGGAGACTTCAAGGACACTGTGCTGAACTCAGGCTGCGGAAACTTCTTGAGTTTGTTGAGCTCAGGCTTCAGGGGTTTGGGGGCGAGTTCACCGGACTCGGGCTGAGAGGCCTGGAACTTTGCTTGGAGGCTCCGGAAGTCCTGATGGCTCTCCTGGGGAGACGGGGCCAGTCGGGCAGGGACTCAGACAGGCACACAGAGGGGTCATGGGAAGACACGTGGGGATCCTCAGGCCAGGCCAAGGACACACAGCCCACCCCCACCACCTCCCTACCCAGGCTCCTGGAAACCACCCTCCTCATGACTTCAGTGAGGGGACACGGGGCACTCAGCCTCCCTGCAGCAGGACCCAGGCCCCTGACACTCCCCCCCACCCCCAGCCCCGTATCTCCAGTCTCGCACTGTCTCCCAGGCTGGACCGCGGCCTCCATCTCCTGAGCTCAGGCGATCCTCCTGCCTCAGCCTCCCGAGTAGCTGGGCCTGCAGGCTCCAGCCGCAGCGCCGGGTCCCCAGCCTGTCTGTGCTAATTTCGAAAGACATCCGGAATCCAACCACTTTTCACTGCCTCCAGCTCTGTCACCCCGGCAAGAGGCAAAGCACTGCCCTTCCCCCATGGCCTGGATTCTCGCCACAGGTTCCTCCCTGGTCCGCGGCCCACCCACAGCCCTGGGCAGTTCCCCCCACAGCAGCTGGAGGAAGAAGCCTGTGGAAACTGAGTCAGTCTGTGCTCCTCTGTTCTGCACCTCCCGAGCAACCCGGCTTCCCCGCCCAGCCACCTCCTCGAAGCTCCCTGAACATTCCAGCACGCTGCTTTCCGTGGGGGTCCTCTGCCCTGTCCCTTGCCCCTCTGAGTAGACCTCTCTTCTTCCTCATCCAGGTCTCTGCACCCATATTTCCTTTTTCCGAGACGACCCTATTTTTTTGGTGTTTTTTTTGAGTCTCACTCTGTCGCCCAGACTGGAGTGCAGTGGCCGCTCCCGGCCACCGCAGCCTCGACCCGCTGGGCTCCGGCGATCCTTCCGCCTCAGCCTTCCGAGTAGCCGGAATTACAGGCATGCGCCACCACGCCCGGCTGATTTTTTGATTTATTGTAGAGATGAGGTCTCGCTGCCCAGGCGGGTCTCGAACCCGCGGGCTCAGGCCATCCACTCACCTCAGCCTCCCAAAGGCGCGGGATGACAGGCTGAGCCACCGAGCCCGGCAAGACGACCCTATTTTAAATGGCCTCCCCTTCCTGGGACTCCCCAGCCTCCCAGCCTCCACAATTTTCCTTTGCCTACCTGCCCTCCCCCCCGGTTGTGTCATACTCTTTTACCCACATGGGGAGTTTTTTTTTGTTTGCATTTAATTTTAAGTTTTTGTGATTTCTTTTTTTTGGTTGGGGTCTCACTCGGGTGAGATCTACTGGGCACGGCGTCTCTGTCGCTGACACCAGGCTGATGGTCAGGGACGCCCACAGCCAGCGGTGTCGATGAGAACCAGATGGCAGGCCCCCAAGAGCCGGCACCGTGGCAATCTCTGGCTCTCCCAGAATGCCTTGGGCGTCCTCCCAACTGGCCCTGAGCCTTTGTCACAGATGCCGGCAGATGCACAGGTAGACCAGGCCTCCTCTGACCTACAACGGCCCTGCAGCTGGCCTGGCCTCAAGCCCCCAAGCCCGGCTTCACCTGGGGTCAAGGAGACTGGGAAGGTGGGGAAGGGAGGAAACATGTGGCCTCCAGAAGTTCCAGCCCAACCTGGGCAACATAGCGAGACCCTGTCTGTACAAAAACTTGAACAATTAGCCAAGTGGTGCTGCATGCCTGTAGTTCCAGCTGCTCGAGAGGCTGCGGTGGGCTATGACTGGGTCACTGCACTCCAGCCTGGGTGACCGAGCTCCTCGGCCCTGGCGAGCGCCTCACCTTCCCCAGCCAGAGGACCTGGGGTGTCGGAGTGCCCCTCCAAAAGGCTGCGGTCCCCATGGGCCTGAAATGTCCCCGGTGAAGCTGCCAGCCTGGGGGAGGGAGGTGCTCCCCGGTGACCACAGGGCTAGATGGGCCAGGGTTAGCAGGTCACGACTCACCTGACTGGTGGGGGAGGGGACAGCGGGTGCGGGACCGACTTTGTCCCCCCCACAGAAAGCCCCCCGCTCTCACCCTGGCTGCTGGCCCCCAGGTTCATGCTGCCCTGGGCAGAGGGGGTCGCCCCGGCGGTCCATTGCCTCTGGCAGCCACAGTCCCCCGAGCCTGAGCTGCCCTGGGGTTGCTGGGGGGCTTCCCACCTCAGGATCTTTGCTGGGACCACTCATTTCCCAGACTGCTTTCCCTGCCCCCTGCTGCTCCACTGGTGGGAGCCCCCGCCCCCTCCCCTCAGCCTCCACCTGCGTGTCCCCTGCTCCCCAAACTCACCATGACGGCAGGCAGGGGACAGGCCACAGGGCGAGGGGACCTGAGCTGGGCTGCTGCCTTCAGGAAGTGAACTGTGGTTTCTGCTCCACAGGCCAGCACGCAGGGTGGGGGCCGCGGGGGAAGGAAAGGGGGCGGGACCGGCTGGGCCTGTCTCCAGATCCTGCTGGGCGCTTCTAACCCCCTGGAGTTTCTGTGTTTGCTCCTGTCCCCAAGCCTAGAGCATCGGGTGTCAACATGACCCCAACACAGTCACTGGTTTCTTTCTTTCATTTGCTTTTTTTTCTTCTTGAGTCAGGATCTCACTCTATTGCCAAGGTTGGGGTGCAGTGGCACAATTACAGCTCACTGCAGCCTCAACCTCCTGGGATCCCAGTGATCGATCCACCTCAGGCTCCCAAGTAGTGGGTAATTTATTTTTTTATTTTTTATTTTTTTTTGAGTTGGAGTCTCACTCTGTCACCCAGACTGGAGTGCAGTGGCCGCTCCCGGCCACCGCAGCCTCGACCCGCTGGGCTCCGGCGATCCTTCCCCCTCAGCCTTCCAAGTAGCTGGAACTACAGGCGCGTGCTACCACGCCCGGCTAATTTTTGATTTATTGTAGAGATGAGGTCTCGCCAAGTTGCCCCGGCGGGTCTCGAACCTGTGGGCTCAGGCAATCCACTCACCTCAGCCTCCCAAAGGCGCGGGATTACAGGCTGAGCCACCAAGCCTGGCTGTAGCTGGGTAATTTTTAAAATTTTTTGTAGAGACAAGATCTATGTTGCCCAGGCTGGGCTCAAGTAATCCTCTTGCTTTGGCCTCCCAAAGTGCCGGGATTACAGGGGCGAGCCACCACACTTTGCCACAGTCACTGGTTTCTTGACTCTCTCTGTCTCCCTCACGCCCATCTGACCTCTGGACTGGGAGGACTCAGTGCTGAGCCTTGGTGGCCTCCTTCCTCTCTGGAGGCCAAATTCAGCCCGGTCTGGAGAGTCACAGGAAGGGGAGAGCTCAGTGGGGAAAAGCTATGGTCCGTTCTGGCGCTCAGAGGCTCCCGGAGAGGCCGTGACTTAGAGGCCAGTGTGACGGACGGGTGAGGCCCCATCTGCCTGCCCTGGTTTCCTCATCTGCCTTTCTCATTTCAACATTTCCCAGCCGTCCGACTTCCCGCTCTGAGCAGGACTTACCTGTTAGGGGGACAGATGTCACATGGGCCATGGCTGGCGATTGGGGCAGAGGACTTGGCTGGATGGCAGATTTGGCGATCTGGCTCCTTGGGAGGAGGGAGAGGGTTTGAGGACGCCCCAGTCTCCCTGAGGTTACAGGTGGTGGAGCCAAGAGGAACTGGAAGACGGAGACGGGGTGAAGGAGGTGAAGACAGATGCGGCACGGAGGCCTGGCCAGATAAGGGCAAGTCCTGATGGCAGGGCTTGGTCCCCAGGAGATCTGTGACCTTGGTCTGTGACCTCAGCCCCAGTAGATGGAAGGAGAGAACACGAGGACAGGGAAAAGCCCGCACTCAGTATAGCCACACGCTGGAATCACCTGGGCAGTTTACGGAAAGACAGACCATCCAGAGCTCCTGACTTTTTTTTTTTTCTCGTTTTGAGTTGGAGTCTCACTCTGTCGCCCAGACTGGAGTGCAGTGGCCGCTTCCGGCCACCCCAGCCTCACCTGCTGGGCTCCGGCGATCCTTCCGCCTCAGCCTTCCAAGTAGCTGGAACTACAGGCGCGCGCTACCACGCCCAGCTAGTTTTTGATTTATTGTAGAGATGAGGTCTCGCCAAGTTGCCCAGGCGGGTCTCGAACCCACGGGCTCAGGCAATTCACTCACCTCGGCCTCCCAAGGCGCGGGATTACAGGCTGAGCCACCGAGCCCGGCTTGGTCTCAAACTCTTGTGCTTAAGTGATCCTCTTGTCTCAGTTTCCCAAAGTGCTGGGATTACAGGTGTGAACCACTGCTGCCCATGGCCGTTGTAGCTTCTCATTTAATTGGTCTGGGGTATGGCCTGAGCAAAAGGTTTTTAACTTAATTTAATTTTTTTGAGTTGGAGTCTCACTCTGTCACTCAGGCTGGAGGGCAGTGGCACACTCCCAGCCACCACAGCCTTGACCTGCCAGGCTAATTTTTTGATCTATTATAGAGATGAGGTCTCGCCAAGTTACCCAGGCTGGTCTCGAAACCCGTGGGCTCAGGCAATCCTCTCACCTCGGCCTCCCAAAGTGCTGGGATTATAAGCGTGAGCCACCATGCCCGGCTGCAAGACGTTTAGACCCTGACAGGTGATCCTGATCCACAGCGAAACACTGGGATCCCCTTTCCCTGTCCCCCTTCCCCCGAGTCACCCTGAGCCGCTGTGAGGGGCAGGCTCTGACTCAGGTGAGGGGTCAGGATCCCTCAGGTAATGCAATG